TGTCTGTTTCCCTTCATGCTCAGTTTAGTTTGTTGTCTGCATGCCTTCTCTGTGCCTTTATATTCAGTCCATCTTAATGTTTTGGATGTACTTACAGCCTTTATAAGGCTCTGTATCAGAGCTTGTGACTGCACCAGCAGATGTATGGGTTTTGAGAATCTTTGGATGTTACTCTAAGAAGCAAAATCAGTGCAAAACAACAATATACAGTGGTCAAATTTAATTTGCCAATTAAACCTCACTGAGCAAGGATTGAGAAGCTAAATGGGTAAGAAAGTAAAATAATATATCTTATTGTTTTAAACTTTAAGCTATTGCCCCTAATGATTTCTTTCCATAGAATCCCTACTGCATGGAAACATACCCTTTCTCTGCATTTCCTGTGGCCAATCCACCTAACCTACACGTCTTTGGATTGTGGGAGAAAACTCACACAGACAATGTGCAAACTCCACATGGTCAGTCCCCTGAGGGTAGAATCAAACCAGGGTCGCTTGTACTGTGAGGCAGTAGTGCTAACCACTGAGCCACCCTTTTTCACTTTTCAATCATTCAATTAAACCAAGACAGCTCTTATGAAACTCACTAACATCATACTGTGTTCACATTTCTCATGTCCTACATTACTTTGGCAAACACTGTGTCCTGGCAGCTTATATTAAATATATTTCAATCATTTGAAAGGCAGCTCTGAAAAAAACCTGAATGATCATATTTAAACACACAAACAGTGGTAAATCATCAGCATATTCATTTTCCCCCAGATTATATTTATTTGAAAAGGTCACAGGTTTGACATCTGCTGGAGCTTGCAGCCCATTGTCCTTTTCCATGTTTTAATCCCAAACATAGGAGCAACTCACCCAAACCTCCAGGTCTGTGCAAGCATTTATGCTCTTAATGCGCTTCCTACTCACTGCTGATATCCTCAAATTGTTTGAGAAGATAGGATTTTTAAAACATAAAATAAGGGAGGCAAGTTGGCTGCTGTGTTTGCTACTTTGCTTTTCAGACTTAAAATGCTCATCAGAGAGGTTTCTATTTAGGATTGACTGCTGTGTTATGACCGAATTTCTATAGCAGGCAGGCAGTGTGTCTATAAGATAGCTACATCGCATCACAATGTGTTGTGATCCAGTATACATGTACTGATCTCATCTTCAGACCTCACGTGTGTGTGAGTGAAAAGGGAAATGTATCAGTGAGTGAGAGAGTAAATGAGTGAGCGTATAGGTGAGTAGATGAGTGAGTGTGTGTATGCATGCGAATAAATAGGTAGGTCACTCAGTTAGTGGCTATGTGAGCAGATTTGGCAGGTTGGGGGTTATTCAGATGTGGAAAGGTGTTGGATTGGTTGGAGGTTGATCAGCTTGGGTCAGGTAGGGGCATGGGGAACTTGTGGCACAGTGGTAGTGTCCCTACCTCTGGGTCAGGGGGCCCTGTATTCAAGTCCCATCTGTTCCAGAGATGTGAAATAACATTTCTGAACAACTTGATTAGAAAATAGTCTTTTTCTTTGCAGGTAGGTCAGATTTGAGAATTAGTCAGTCAGGCTGGGGGAGGTTAACTACCTCAACACTATTCTAATGTACAATAAACAAGGATGGAGGCAGTCCAGTTTCTTCTCCCGTCGTTTCCTCTCCTTCAGTCATCTTTGTTATTAATGTCCCTGGGTTTACCTTGCATCCGGGTAACTTTGAGTTTAAGTTGACTTCATGTCAGACTGTCCTCCAGAGTTGGAGTAGCACCTTATCTCTCAGCCCACTTGCCTGGACCCTTTCTCAGCCCTGAGTTCAAAGCCATTTGCAACAAAGTCTATCATGGGACAGGTGTTAAGAGTTGAGCTTTAAAGGAAATCATACACTTAGAAAAGCTCAAGATGATCAGGAAGAGTCACATGGTTTTCCCAAAGGAAGTCATACTTCACCATTTTACTGGAGTTCTTTGAAGCAATGGCATGCACCGTTGGTAAAGGGGGAATATGTACTTGAATTTCCAGTAGGTATTTGATAAGGTGCCACATGAAAGGTTACTAAGGAAGATAAAATCTCACGTTGTGGGTGGTCATTTATTAGCATTCAATATTTTTAACACAGCAGTGGATGTTCAGCAGGAGAATCAGAAATGATCAGGGCAGACAGGAATATGGAATTTGAAATGTAAGTGGATCAGCCATGATCATCTTGAATGCTGGAGCAGGCTCGAGGGGCTGAATGGTCTACTCTTGCTCCTATTTTGTCTGTTTGTAAAGTGAATCTGGTAATTTCACAAAACTGTAAACATGCAAGTAGCCAGGTTGCTGGGCAAACCAGACTGTTGCTCAGTAACAGACCAGTTGGTCTGCCAGTTCCCTTGGTTTATGTGGTTGAAGCTTCATGCCTTCTGGAGAGGTCAAATAATTGGTAAAACAATACTTTGGAGATAGGCAATAAATACACAACTTTAAACAACACTCAACGGTTTCCACTCAATAATTCGAAATAGCTGCACCTTCAAAATTAAAGCTGCTTAATGTAATTGATCTCATTCAAATATTTTTCTGCTTCTAAAGCCCCATGTTATAGTATTTGCTTTCCTCATTACAAACTTTGTAAAAACAACTTCAAAGGTCTCTCATGGGTCACAGCTTGTTTGCACTGGGGAACCACTTGAGCCCATTAGCTCTGTGCTATTGACTCTGCACTGGGTTAATGCAGGAATGTTCATTTACAATGCAATAGGCCCCTGTAACAACCAAACCAACATGAAGACAGCTGGGCCCATGCAGGATGTTGCTGTTGGTGGTGGCTCAGTCCTGGCTTCCTGAATCGGAAGGTCCATGCATATCAAGGAATGCAAATCACTTTTACTCACTGGGTTTCATTGCAAGAAATCTTGAAATGTACAGAACCATTGCCTGTTCCTCAAGTGTGTGTCTCAATCTGGGTCCAATGCACATGATTCCCCTGAGGGGACCTGCCTCTGAAGGTTCTGCTGTGGACTTACTGCATGAACGGTTTTGTCTAGAAGTCTGTGTGTGAAAAGTTGGGGGCCGGTGATCTAAGCAATTCACCATACTTTAATGTGGGTGCAGAGGCTGTGTGTGCAATTATAATCAGTGAGACCTGAGGACAATGTAGCCTCACTGGTTCATCTGTGTTTAGGGGTGAGATTGGAAGGACGGATGGAATTTTGCATCTGCAAAGCTATTTAAAGGAGTCTGCAGGTGTGCTGTTCACAAAGGACAAATAGTTTAGTCTCCCGGGTTATTGAACCCTACACCGGAAACCCTGTCCAGGCAGAAGGAGGTGATACATCACTTCCCATTGGAGAGAAAAGCCTCCTGTGACACCTTCACCAGCATTGAGCAGATTGCCTTCTGAGGAAAGGCTAGGCTGGTATCCTCTGGAGGTTAGGAGAGTCAGAGGTGACTGAATTGAAACAAAGAAGATCCTGAATGAACTCAACCAGGTGGATGTGGAAAGGATGTTTCCTCTTGTTGGAGAATCGAGAACTAAGCGTCATAGTTTAAATCTAAGAGGACACCTATTTTTTCTCTCAGAGGGTTGTGAGTCTTTAGAATTGCCTTTCTTGAAAGACAGTGGATACAGAATCTTTAAGTATTTCTAAGGCAGAGATAGATTCGTGATTCTCAAGGAGATGGAAGATTATTGGGAAATATGCAGGAATATGGAGTTAAGTTTAAAATCAGATCAACCATGATTTTATTGAATGGAGGAGCAGACTCAATAGGTTGAATGGCCTACTCTTGTTTGTATGTTTGAGTGACACAGCTGTCCATTCTTCACCCACGAGTGTGAATTCTACACTTCGTGTAATAACACTCCGGATCTCCTTCTGCCTCAGCTACAGTGTTTGCTGCTCATATTAACTTGTTCATCTCTGGCTCTGACTTCTGCGCCTCAGTTATTGAAAGCATACTAAACACTTCCTGTGAATGATCCCTGTGCTAACCCCTACAAGATTCATATGAAATCAATAATTAGTCTCCTTGTGGAGCTTGTTGGGTTTGAGTTCCCTTGGTAAGAGGCAATGGCCTGCCCAGTGAAACTCATCGTCTGAGCCCTTTATAAAGCAGACCCAGGGACTGATCTGCAGAACTCTCTGTCTCAGGTTGGGATTATTTGAAAACGCAAGCTTTCGTAGCCTCACTCCTTCTTCAGGTGCTAGTGTGCTAACACCTGACGAAGGAGTGAGGCTCTTAAAGCTTGTGTTTTCAAATAAACCTGTTGGAATATAACCTGGTGTCATGCGATTTCTGACCTTGTCCACCCCAGTCCAACACAGGCGCCTCCATACCATCAGGTGGGGAGTAGCCAATGTATGCCGTGAGTAGTAGCTATATTTCAGTGTTCAACAATATACATACCTTTCCATTTGAGGTTCCTGAGTTATTTCACTCCCCCATCATTAGAGCCAGTTTTAGTTAAACTAGCATCTACTTGTGGGATCACTGGTCATCGATGTTGTTTAGCCACCACACACAATGGAGAAGTATCTGGAACTTACGTTCTTTCATTGGGTTTTAAAGCACAGACAAAAACCCTTCAGCCTTTGATTGAAGGTGTAATTTGCACTCTAGTCAAATCATTACTGAGGAAGAAGTCAAATTTGTTCAAGGGTAAGTTCTTAATGATTCATTATCAGTGTTGTTCTCAGTAACAAGTCACACTCTTTGTACAACAGAACGATGATATGCTCTCCACTGACACTGTTTGAATCATCATAGAATCCCTACAGTTTGAAGCAGGCCATTCAGCCCATCGAGTCCACACTGATCCTCTGAAAAGCATCCCACCCCCATCCCTGTAACCCTGTATTTCCCATGGCTAACCCTCCTAACCTGTACATCTCTGGATGCTATGGGCAATTTAGCACGGCCAATCCACCCTAACCTGTACATCTTTGGACTGTGGAAGGAAACCCACACACCAAGAGGAAACCCACGCAGACACGGGGAGAATGGCTGGAATTGAACTTGGGTCTCTGGTGCTGGGAGGCAGCAACACGAACCACTGAGCCACTGTGCCACTCTTCACTGAGCCACTGTGCCACTCTTCACTGAGCCATTGTGCTGTCCTTGTTTGTCTTTCTTGGAACTTTCTGGAGGAAGATCTAACTATTTGTCCAGCAAAAGAAGTGGGTAGCTCCTGAGTCCCATCATATAGTTATACGTTTACCTGTATCAATTGAAGAAAGGGTGTTAACTTTCCTTTTGACAAAAAACCTTTATATCTGTCATCCACCTTCCTCACCTCTTGGGTACTAAGAGCAGTGTTAATCTCCGGTCTCCTGGTTCCAGTGAAAGCTTTTATTTTATCTGTGGTATTTTCTTTGTGAGATCCTTTCTGTTTTGGACTCACTCTTTTGAGCCCCATAAAAGTCCAATGGGCTTCCCTTGCAACTCCCTGCATTCTGAGTGGAAATGTCTCACCTTGTGACAACAGAAACACTTAGGCCCTCAATTGTCACTTCCACCCTCAGCAGAGATAGCAAGAGCTGCTGATGCTGGAGTCAGAGATAACACGGTGTGGAGCTGGAGGAACACAGCAGGCCAGGCAGCATCAGAGGAGCAGGAAGGCTGATGTTTCGGATCGGGACCCTTCTTCTGAAAACCGTCAGCACCTTCCTTTCTGGATCCGAGGAGGAATTTGCGTCTTGAGGAATTGCCTGTTGTCCCTTAGTTTTATGGAGTAGCTCAGAATCGCCAACCAATTCTGCTGCCTGTCTCTCAGCTGTTACCCTCTGGTTTTCAACATGGGCTCTCATTATGAAAGGTAGTAATTTTTCTCAGAGAATGACCTGTTTCAGAGCTTTATCCATGGTGTTTACTCCTAATACCTGTAACTGTCAAAATACTTCACTTTACCTTTTCAAATTCAATGCCCAGGCTGCTACCTTAAATTTCAAAACTGTTTCAGGAACTATCTCCCAAAAAAGTCTTTATTTCAGTCTCATGGTATGTAGAAATGTCCTCTCACAGTGATACATACATTTCCTGTGCTCTACCTGTCAACCTGCTTTACATCAGCATTGTCCAGTTTTCCTTTACCTGTTCTTTCTTGCTATTTTCTCAAAATACATAACAACAAGTTCACATCCTTTACCTCAAATTTTGGTAGGACCTGTAAAAAACTTTTACATTTTTTAATTAGCTTTTAGAATATGACTAGGTCTACCTGATCAGAGCCGTCTTTGGGACCCAAAGTCTCGAATTTTAACTATATCATTTTAAGCCGGTACTCCCCAACTCTATTATTTTCCCTTTCTTCATTCTTCTCTGTTTGCAGGATCTCTTGTTCCAGCCTCTTACGTGATCTTCCTTGTGCTTTTCCTCCTGTGAAACGTTCATAATTTATCTTTTTATTTTTCCTTCGACTCAACTCTTTTTCTCTCCATCTCTGCCTTTTATATTTCCTTTCCAATCTCAAGCTGCCTCATACCTCATCCTCTTGAACTGTAATTGAATCCCACACAATCCAACTTGATCTTCAAATTGCAGCAAAAGAAAATCTTTGCTGGTGGGTTTTTTTTTGCTTTTGAGCAGTTTCCCACTTCCCATTTTCCAGTTTGTAGTTCAAAAAGAAAGTGGTCTCTTCCAGGTTCCCGAAATATGCATTTCTCAGTCTCTGCTGTGTATAGAATTTATCCATCGCAACAATTACAGATGTTTGCTGACATAGGTGGAGATCCCACCTCAGGTCAGTGCTAAGTAAGGACTGAAAATATTGAACTATCAAAATGAATGGATTGAACAATGCAGAAGGATTGGAATGCTAATCCTCTAATTGTTAAAAGCTGCATAGCTAGTGAAACATATCCATTCGACATGTTGCCAACAGTCAAGAAAATATTCCTCTGACATTTAGCAGACCGCTACTGGAGATACAGACGAAAGGGGAGCCAAACATCCTTGGCTTCAGAATGTCTGTAGCTGTTACAATAATCAACAACACCCATTTGCATTTATATAGCATTTCAAAGGCAGTGAAGGCAGGGAGGCGATGGCCTAGTTGTATTATTGCTGGACTGTTAGCCCAGAGACCCAGATAATGTTCAGGGGACCTGGGTTCGACTCCCACCATGGCAGATGGTGGAATTTGAATTCTGGGAAAAAAATACTGGAACTAAGAGTCTAATGATAACCATGAATTGATTGTTGGGAAAAAACCCATCTGGTTCACTAATGCCATCCTTAACTGGTCTGGTCTATATGTGACTCCAGACCCACAGCAATGTGGGTGTCTATTAACTGCCCCCGGGCAATTACGGATGGGCAATAAATGCTGCCTAGCCAGTGATGCCCACATCCCGTTAATGAATAAATAATAAGAGCAAATACAATAGTGACAGACAAACAAAGTCTGAAACTGAACCACACGGAAAGGTGTCAAAGAGGCAGGAGATGTGGAGAGGTTTAGCGATGGAATTCCAGAGTTTAGGATCCAGGTAGCTGAAGGCAAGAGCCAGCAATGGCGGAGTGATTACAGTCAGGGATGTGTAAGAATGCAGAACTGCGGGGGTTACCGAGGTCCCCTATCTCAGAGGTTTCTAGAGTGAGAGGGAGTTTACAGAGAGAGAAGGATGGGGAACATGCATTGCTGAATACACATCAGCATCATTGCATCTCTGTGTCCACATTCTTGAGACTGGGTCCTTCTTATAGCCAACAACAAACGAACATTAACGGATCTCACTTAAGTGGTTGATGGATGGCAGCTGTTACGAGAATTCAATTATGCAGATAAACATGGATACATGGATACAATTGGGATAATGTCTGGTGAGTCCCCCCAGGATTTAACCAGAAATGAGGACAAACTAAATGAGTCACAATAATGTCCATCTTCACCTCCATACAAGGCTTTCATCTGCAACTTCCAGCCTCTCGGATTCCTGTAATGTGTTTTCAAATATTACAGTGCACTCGAACATTTTCTGTGTGGGAATTGTGGCTGATCTGGAAAAAAACAAAACATTAAATGGATATTTATATGTGTTGTGAAATAAAACATGCTGCCTGTCACCTCTTAACAGCCTTACTTGGCAAGGTTGAAGCTCACAATAACTTCCAAAGCGTTTCTCCAGTCGAAGGATAACAGTGCGGTACTGAAACCAAACGCTAATCATGCAGAAAATGCACAATTCAGATCAACACACGGATTAATTTATACCGTGGTCTCTTGAGAAGTGCGAGGCTAGAAACTTGCCAAAAGCAGGGAGCAGTTATTACAACATTGCACGAAACTGAACAGTCTAGACTTCTGCAATTCACTTCATTTTAGGAGTTTACAATTGGGCCTTGACTGGAGAGGGACTGACGTACTGAAATAAAAAGTATCACGTCACATTACTGAGTGTCTAACAGCCCAAACAGCCTTTGATATTTATATTGGCAAAAGAAGGTCTTCCCAACTAAGGTTACATGGCAGGCTGTTACTTACCATTACATTAATTTGGGAAGACATTGGAATGCTGTGTTTATACTACTGTGCAAAAAATAACAGTTAAATTGACCATATTGTAAAAATGTAAAGCAGCATTGAATTTATACTTTGCAAGTAATGTTTGCTGAGACATTAATCTTCAACACTGGGAAAATAATACCAAAAATGGACACTCAAACAGAAGTGAGAGGGGCAGCGATTAGGGAATAGTGTAGCTGCTCTGCCTGATTGTTCTCCTAGGGAATCAGCTGGCTGTTTCTCTACGGCTTGGAGATCACCTCACCCCCTGCTTCATTTCCAGCGCCACATTTTTAAATCCTTTCAAATTTCAGTTTGAAGGCCCCCCCACCCCCGCCCATCCCACTGGGATAAAGGTCTAATGGAACACCAAATTAGGGCTTTCACACATACACATTGATAGAATTTCAATATCCAAAGGACCACTGGACACCTCAAAAACAAATATTTTTGAAGTGCGGTCACCATTGTAATGTTGGAAACATGGCAGGCAATTTGTACACAGTAAGATTCCAAAAGCAGCAACATAATAATGAACAGATAGGCTGCAATTTTTTGTGATAATGATTGAGGGATATATATCATTCAGGAAACTAGAGATAACCTCACTGATCCATTAGAGTCATAGAGTCATACAGCATGGAAACACACCCTTCGGTCCAACCAGTCCATGCCGACCATAATCCCAAACTAAACTATTCCCACCTGCCTGCTCCTGGCCCATATCCCTCCAAATCTTTCCTATTCATGTACTTATCCAAATGTCTTTTAAACAATCGTACTCCCAACAGCATCCATCACTTCCTCTGGAAGTTCATTCCATGTATAAGCCACCCTCTGTGCAAAAATATTGCCCCTCATGTCTTTTTTAAATCTCTCTCCTCCTTCAAAATAGTACCACAGGATTTTCCACATCTACCTGAGGGGACAGGCATCGTTATAGGTAAAGTTATCATTGTCCTACTGGACCATAGGGCTGCTGTCTCACGAGAGAGAGAGATGATTGGTGGTGGTTTAACCTGATGGTCAGGTGAGGGGAAAAGTTGAGAGTGAAGAGTTCTCCAGCTGGTGCAGGAATTGAACCCATGCTGTTGGCATCAAACCAGCCACCCAATTACCTGCACCAAGGACCGGTGCTATTGAACTGCGTTTCCCCAGTACTTTTTTCTCCACCATCCACGACATGTTAGCCTTGATCATGTTGAATGGTGGAGTGGGTTTGATGGGCTGAATGGGCCCCTCTACATCTTCATGTTTAAGCAGAATGGACATCGGCAATCGGAGGTGGGAAAGGAAGTGGTCAAGGTGCATTGGCACGAAGGCAGGACCTCCTGAACTGGGCAAACTGGCCCTTAATTGGGCATTTCAGTGTCTCAATTGGACACCCAGTAGGCACTTGTGCCATGAGGATGCCCACTGGGATGACAGCAGAGTCTCCTCACAGCACCTCCCCACCCCCCACCCCACCACTGCAATATCCCCAGCTCTCCTGTGCCTTGGTGATGGGCTAGGGCCCAAGGGGAATCTAGCCTTGATATAGAAACATGAGTTCACAGTGTAAATAAAAAAAACAACAAAAATATGAAGGGGATAAGAAAAGTATGATTCAAATGCCAACAAACATGAGACATAAAAGTAAGTAGGAAATTCAGTGGGTTTTTTTTACCTGGGATGCTTGGTCAGATGGGCTAATGGATGAATTCTCCAAGACAAAAGAAAACTCTAGTGGGGCATTTACAAGATGCAGACTTGAGTCAGGGGATTATTCAGGGCAACAAGATAGTAATAGACTTAGTGGCATGTCCATTCTCCTCGGAAGGCATCACAAAGTGGGTGACTGTGGATTGTCAGTTTTGTAACTAACAAACAAATAAAAAGGCTGAAGACAGAGGCTAAAGCCCACGAGACCCAAATTCACTATTCCACCCTCAGTTTATTTTAATGTTTTAAAAATGTTCTGCACGCTAGCCACCAATTTGCAAACTCTGGTGGTTCTGCAAAGATTAGCATTGTAAATTCTATTGTCAAGGTTGAGGGGAACATCTAGTGATTTGATTAAGACTCCCGGTTTTATAAGTACGTTAACAATAAAGGCTGCTATTTATTGCTGCACTGTAATGAACACCATCACCTTCATTATTCCCTCAGCACTTCACTAATTTTCTGCAACGTTGAACCTGACCAAGATGCAATTACCAATGTGAGTGAAATAACATCAAACTCCCCTTGTAAAAAAATAAAGAGACAGGGACCTTTTGAGAATTATCTTTTTAAATCTTTTAAGGTCAGCAGTGGTAACCTTTCCCTAAAATTGACAATGCAATATACATACTTGAATTAGTTGCTTCAAAAAGAGGACGCAGCTTCTAATGTTTTATGACTATACATTTGTACAATTAATGTATGCTGCCAATTCCTGGGGACTGACTCTTGTGTTTAGGAATAAAAGGATCAAAGGGAATGGGGAGAAAGTAAGAATAGGTATTGACCTGGATGATCAGCTATCAATGGTGGAACAAGCTTGAAGGGCTGAATGGCCTACACCAGCTCTGATTCTCTATGTTTCTAAGGACACAGCCTATCAGACTATCACTTGCAACATTGCTTTGCATCTTATAGATGTGCAGAAAAATGCAAAAGTTAATCTTTTCCAGTTGTCATGAGCCAACCTTTTACTTTGACACAAAGGAATCTCAAGTGAAAAGTTAGTGTCCTTTTTAAGGAGAGAAATTAGGAAACATTTTCCCACACAAAGAGGGTTGAAGTTAGGAACTGTCTACAGGATTTAAACATTGTTATAAGGAGACAAGAAGAGGAAACTTTTCACTTTGCCCTCATCAGGTGTAGGAAGCTAGAAACAGACTTGAACAAAATGATAACACAGTGTGGAGCTGGAGAAACACAGCAGGTCAGGCAGCATCAGAGGAGCAGGAAAGCTGATGTTTTGGGTCACGACCCTTCTTTATTTTTCTGAAGAAGGGTCCCGGCCTGAAATGTCAACTTTTCTGCTCCTCTGACGCTGCCTGACCTGCTCTGATCCTCCAGCTCCACACTGTGTTGTCTCGGACTCCAGCATCGGCAGTTCTTACTATTTCTGAACAAAGTGGCAGCATTTGACACTGCAGGAGAAGAGAGTGCTGATTGGTTGGGCCATCGGTGGCATGAAGATGCAGCAAGAACATTTAACTGTCAGTCTTCATTTACAGACCAGGCAGGTAGATTCTGATTGGCTGGGGTGTTACCCATTGAATGCAGGGGGGAATTGACTGTCTCCATACCCTTTTTTTTCCATGAAGAAGGTGCACGCTATCATCAATTTCCTTTTGCCTTTGTGAAACAGGATCCTGTGTATTAACATATGTAGCTTCTAGCTTGCACTAACCATCACACTATGAGCTGAACTGATGAACTTAAATTGGTTTCCGGTGAAACCCTTAGCACAGTCTGGATTCTTTAATAAGTGATTTCCAGTAGCATAACATTTAATGGTGGGTATACTGTTCTGAGGTTTATGGGCTGGTTGAGCACGAACAGCTGGTACCCCCTGATAATAGTGAACAGGATGTGCTGTTGGATACAGTCTGGTGGTTGTTGGGATACATGGGCGATATACTTGGCAAGGGCAAGGATGGGTATATGGATTTGAGTCACAGATCAGCCATGATCTCATTGAATTGTTGAACAAGATTGAGGGATTGAATGGCCTCCTCCTGTTCCTATGAACTTATTTTTACGTAAAAACATCTTCTATGGGATGTTGTTAGGACATGTTTATGTTATGTAACAAGGAATGCTACAGAAACTCAGCAGGTCTGGCAGCATTTTAGGAGAGAGAAACAAAGTTAACTTTTCAAGTCCAGTGTGACTCTTATTCAGAACCCTTAAATTGTAGACTGATGGGGTACTAATTGGCCAGGTTGGAACTGTCTTGCTTTTATATGTACAGGTCATACCTGGGCGATTTTCTACATTGTTGGGTAGATGCCAGTATTGTAACTCTACTAGAACAGCTTGGGTAGGAGAGAGGCAAGTTCTGGAGCACAAGTATTCAGTACTATAGCCAGAATGTGTCAGAGCCCGTAGCCTTTGCGGTATCCAGTGCCTCCAACCGTTTCTTGATATCACGTGGAGTGAATCGAATTGGCTGAAGACTGGTATCTGTAATGGTGGGGACCACTGGAGGAGGCTGAGATGGCACTTCTGGCTGAAGATTGCTGCGAATGCTTCAGCCTTATCTTTTGCACTGATGTGCTGGGTTCTTCCATCAATGAGGATGGGGATATTTGTGGAGCCTCCTCCCCCAGTGAATTGTTTAATTGTCCACCACCATTCACGATTGGATGTGGCAGGACTGCAGAGCTTAGATCTGATCTGGTGGTTGTGGGATCACTTAGCTCTGTCTATCACTTGCTGCTTTCGCTGTTTGGCGTGCAAGTAGCCCTGTTTGGTGGCTTCACCAGGTTGACACCTCATTTTCAGGTATGCCTGGCGCTGCTCCTGGCATGCCCTCCTGCACTCTCCGTTGAACCAGGGTTGACCCGCTGGCTTGATGGTAATGGTTGAGTGGGGGATATGCTGGGCCATGAGGTTACTGATTGTGCTGGAGTACAGTTCTGCTACTGATGGCCTGACAGAACCTCCGTGAGGCAATGAAGGAATGAAAGAACTGAAAAAGAATTGGTGGTGGAATT